TTTATTATTATTATTTTTAAAGATTTTATTTATTCATGAGAGACACAGAGAGAGAGAGAGAGAGAGAGAGAGAGGCAGAGGGAGAAGCAGGCTCCATGCAGGGAGCCTGACGTGGGACTCGATCCTGGGTCTCCAGGATCACGCCCTGGGCAGAAGGCGGCGCTAAACCGCTGAGCCACCTGGGCTGCCCCTCTTCTTTCCTTTTTAAAGCTAAATAATATTCCACTGGGCAGATATACACATATCGTCTACCCAAGTCATCAGGTGATGCATATTTGTGTTGTTTCCACTTTTCGGCTATTAGGCTGCTATGACCATTTGTATACAAGTTGTGGTACAAACATATTTTCAATTTTCTTGCATACACATTTAGGAGTAAATTATATCTACATATCTAGTCACATGGTAACTCTATGTTTAACCATTTGAGGAACTGCCCTTCTGTTTTCCACAGCAACTGCATGATTTTGCATTTTCACTAGCAGCATATGAGAGTTCCAATTTCCCCACATGCCCACCAACACCTGTTATTGTTCATCTTTTTTATTGACTTTATCCTAGTGACTGTGAAATAGCTCACTGGGGTTTTGATTTGCATTTTCCTGATGACTAGTGACGAAGACTGTCTTTTCATATGCTTATTTGGATGCCTTCCTTGGAGAAATGTCTGTTCAAATCCTTTGCCCACTTTAAAAATTGGGTTATTTATATTTTTTACTTCTTAGGTTGTAGGAGTTCTTAATCTATTCTGGATACTAGAATCATGATTTGCAAGTATTTTCTCCCAATCTTTGGATTGTCTTTTCACTTTCTGGTTGGTAATCTTTAAAGTTTTTGTTTTTCAGGCAGCCCCGGGGCGCGGCGGTTTAGCACTGCCTGCAGCCTAGGGTGTGATCCTGGAGACCTGGGATCGAGTCCTGCATCGGGCTCCCTTCATGGAGCCTGCTTCTCCCTCTGCCTGTGTCTCTGCCTCTCTCTGTGTGTCTCTGTGAATAAATAAATAAGATCTTTAAAAAAAAAAAAAAGGATTTAAAAAAATAAAGTTTTTGTTTTTCATGAAATCCAATTTATTTATATTTTTCCTTTAGTTGCTTGTGTATTAGGTATCACTTCTAAGAAACCTCTGCCTAATCTAGGATCACAAAGATTTATACTTTTGCTTTCTTCTAAGATTTTTATAATTTTACATCTTACATTTAGGTCTTTGATCCATTCTGAGTTTTTATATACATTGTGAGGTGGCTATGTAGTCCAACTTCATTCTTTTGCATGTGGTTGTTCCAGCACCATTTATTGAAAACAGTATTCTTTTCCTTCACTGAGTGGTCTTGGCATCTGTTGAAAATCAATTTGCCCTGGGGCATCTGGGTGGCTCAGTGGTTGAGTGTCTGCCTTTGCCTCCAGGTATGATCCCCAGGTCCTGGGATCGAGTTCTACATCAAGCTCCCCACAGGGAGCCTGCTTCTCCCTCTGCCTATGTCTCTGCCTCTCTCTCTCTGTGTGTCTCTCATGAATAAATAAAATGAAAGAAAAGAAAGAAGAAAGAAAGAGAAGGAAGGAAGGAAGGAAGGAAGGAAGGAAGGAAGGAAGGAAAGAAAGAAAGAAAGAAAGAAAGAAAGAAAGAAAGAAAGAGAAAGGAAAGAAAGAAAGAAAGAAAGAAGAAAGAAAAAGAAAGAAAGAAAGAAAGAAAGAGAAAGAGAAAGAAAGAAAGAAAGAAAAAGGAAAGAAAGAAAGAAAGAAAGAAAGAAAGAAAGAAAGAAAGAAAGAAAGAAAATTGAAAGAAAGAAAATTTGCCATAGATGCTTGGCTTTATTTCTGGAATCTCCATTTTATTCCATTGATCTGTATGTCTGTCCTCATACCAGTACCACACCATCTTGATTACTGTAGCTTTGTAGTAAGTTTCAAAATCAGGACATGAGTGTCCTCCAATCTCTTTCTTCTTTGTGATTGTTTTGGCTATTCTGGGTCCCTTGCATTTCCATTTTAGGATCAGCTTATCAATTTCTGCAAAAAAACAACGGAGATTTTGATAAGGATTGCCTTGAATCTGTAGATCAGTTTGGGGAGCACTGCCATCTTAATATATTAAGTTTTCTGATCAATAAACATGAATGTTTCCATCTATTTAGGCCTTTAATAACTTCCAGCAATGTTTTTTAATTTTCATGTATAAATCTTACATTTCTTTTGTTAAATTTATTTATGCATATTTTATTCTTTTTTATGCTATTATAAATGAAATTGTTTTAATGTCATGTTCAGATTGTTTATTGCTAGTGTATACAAATGCAATAGATTCTTGTATATTGCTTATATCTTGCAATTTTGCTGATGTTATATATTAGCTTTAATAGATTTTTAGTGGATTATTTAGGATTTTCTATGTGCAAAATCATGTCATCTGCTAATAGAGATAGTTATACTTCTTCCTCTCCAAACTGGATTTCTTTTCTTTCTTTTTCTTGCCTAATTGCCCTGGCTATAACCTCCAGTACAGTCTTCAACAGCAGTGACAAGAGCAGATATCCTTATCTTGTTGCTGAGCCTTATCTTGTTCATGATTTTTTGAAGTAGGTATTTTTTACAAATGAGGAGAAACCTGCCACCTATCTCTCTCCATAAAAATGAGGGTCAGATGAGGAAGCTGAGACTCAGAGAAGTTAATTAATCTCTGCAAAGTCACAGTTAGATAACAGTGGAGCCCAAATTTTAAATCCAGGTCTGACTCCAAAGCCCACACTCATTCTCCTCTGCCTCCTTAACTCTTAAAGAGTGGATCAGCAACTCTGTACTTGTGCAAGGCTTCATTCCTGCTTTCATTGTTTCGCTCATGCCACACACTAATGGAGGTAACAGAGCAGGAGTTGGTGTCGCCCTTTTTACCTTGAAGAAAGTGACTTGGAAGAACTGGGATTCAAACTCTGCTTTCCTGATTCAATTCTGTGCTTTGACAGAGGCAATAACTACTTCACTGAATAGTTAGATGTATTCAGAAAGGTTATGTGGGTATTTTCTAACAGATAATAAACAAAAAGGATGAATTAAATCCTGCATGATAGTGAAGAAACTAAAATATGGAGAGAAAAAAATCCGAAAAGATTGAAAACAGGTTGAGGGGATATGAAAGGAGAAAGGAAAGGAGAGGAGAGCCAACTGACATTATGATTTGTAAAGAAAAGTGTCAAATGGACAAAACCATCTCTTCATAAGAAAGCACTTTAAAGAGGCGGGGGCGGGGCGCAGCACCTGGATGGCTCAGTTGGTTGAGCATCTGCCTTTGGATCAGGTCATGATCCCAGGGTCCTAAGATGGAGCCTCACATCGGGCTCCCTGATGAGCAGGGAACTTATCCCTCTCCCTCTGCTGCTCCCCCTCCTTGGGCCTTCTCTCTCTGTCACATAAATAAAATCTTTTCAAAAATAAAATAAGATTTTAAAAGAAAGCACTTTATTTTTTTTTAAGATTTTTTATTTATCTATTCATGAGAGACACACACAGAGAGAGAGGCAGAGGCACAGGCAGAGGGAGAAGCAGGCTCCACGCAAGGAGCCCGATGCAGGGAGCCCGATGCGGGACTTGATACTGGGTCTCCAGGACCACACCCTGGGCCCAAGGTGGCGCTAAACTGCTGAGCCACCTGGGCTGCCTAAAGAAAGGACTTTAAAGGGAGTTATGTGGGGATGCCTGGGTAGCTCAGTCAGTTAAGTAGCTCTCTCCTCTGTAGACCCTGACTCTTGATCTCAGTGAGGTCTTGATCTCAGGGTTGTGAGCTAAACAGGTGAATGAATGGATAATGTCAATGAAATTTCTTTCCAGCTGAAAGAATCCCCTCTGAAAAGGAAATAATGCAAATGAGCTATATAAAGGTGTTTTCTGCTGTGTCCAGACAGATTTAAGGCTGGCCCTGCCTTGAGGATGAGAGCTAAATAAAATGCCTCCAGCAGCTCCTGCTGAAGCCTTTCTGGAAAACCCTCCATCACTGGAGAAAGTGCTGGTTGTGCAGCTTGCTGCTGGACTCGCCACCTCCAACCTGTCCTCACAGGATTGCTATGCAGCTTAAATAAAAATGTTTCCTATGAACAAACCTTACATCATTCCTGCACATGGAAAAGGCTCGGTAAATACTAGTTCCATTTCCCTTCCCTTTATGGGGTTTTCAAGGGACCCAGGCTTTGAGTATCCCCAGAACCTAGAAGCTATAGGCACCTTCTACAATGGAAAGATACCTCTCTTTTCTCTCCTCCTTGGCCCAGCTCATTCTAATAATTTGCTTTTCATCTTTAACCACTTAGCTTAGGTGTGGGAGTCACTCTTCTATTTACAAAGAAGGGTGAGATGTTTGATTACTTCCTTATGGAGAAGTGGGCCCTGGGCTGAGCCAGAGAAGCCCAGAGTTCTGGGCTCTTTGCACCACCTTTCTCCACCTTTCTGTGTACTTCTGGGTGGGTCTCCCTTCCGGGCTTTAAGTTCCTCATCTGGGAAGGGTCCTTGGTCATGGGGGGCGAGGGGGCAAGGGAGTTTGCCTCTTTCTTCTAGTTCAGGTCAATGGGGTGAAGACAACTATGGGGAAAGGAGACTGGAGAGGTCTCTGCATGGAGCCTGCTTTTCTCTATGCCTGTGTCTCTACCTCTTTCTCTCTGTGTGTCTCTCATGAATAAAAAAATAAAATCTTTTAAAGATTTAAAAAAAAATGAAACCCAAAGCTACTTTAACTCAAGGGAGCACCCACCATCTGCACTCCACAAGCTGTCACATCTGCCCCCAACCTGCCTTTCTCCTCTAGCCCCCACAACTCAGCCCTCTGCTAACCTGTTGTTCCTCTCTCTGCACTGAGCAAACTCCCAGTGAACTTTAAGACCCAGTCAATGCTGCCTTCTCTAGGAGGCCATACCTACCTCCCCAGGCTGGACCAGGGTTCTCTCCTCTGTAGACCCTGACAGGAGCGAGGGCATGAGGGAGACAGAAAGACACTCTTCTATCACAGGCAGCTGCTGTCATCACCTCATCACCTGCTGGCTTGCAAACCCCCACTGGCCGTTGGCCTCTGGAATAAGGGCATGTCTGATTGGTCTTGGTGTCCCCAACCCTTGGCCAAGGACCAATGGCTGAAACCTCTTTGGGGGATGAGAGTTACCTTTTCCATCTGCCTTGTAGTCATCCGGGAGGAGCTTGTCCTGCCGGTAGCCCAGCACAAAGGCCAGGAAGGAGAGGATGAGGGCATCTCCGATGCTGAGGATGGCCAGCATGAAGGCCCAGCGGATGGTGCACTGGCCCAGTGTATACTTGCCCGTCTGCTCCCCACACATGCGCCGCACCTCACTTGAGTCCCAACCATCTGGGTAGACCAGGCAGCCAATCATCAGGCCTGTGGCTGAGAGGGCAGCAGGGGGTGCAGATGCTGTCAGACTGGGTATGCTCTGCCTGCTACCTCCCACCCTGCACTGCTGACATCTTGTCACCTCCCTTCTCCTGGTGTTAACAGCCTGTGACATATGGGGCCGCTCCTACCATCACTCTTGTAGAACACATGGTAGAAAATTGAAGATCCAAGAACTAAAGTCCATTGCCCTTGGTCATGGGTAGAGGCAGAAAGCAGAGCTCCTCAGTAGAGCCTGCCATGGCACCAGGTGGTCCTACTAGGCCCTCAGCCACGCCCCTCACTGTGGACTTGATGAGGCATCGGCTACCCTGGCTTCAAACCCTGCCAAAATCTGGTCCCAACCCAGAGAACTCATCACTCCTAAGATGAATATTTCTTCATACTCCAATAGTTCTGAAATAAGTATAATAAGAAAGTTTCAGGCCATCGTTTGATTAGAAGTATTTTTCCTGGGCATCTGGGTGGTTCAGTCGGTGAAGCGTCTGACTCTTGATATCAGCTCAGGTCTTAATCTCAGGGTTGCAAGTTCAAGTCCCACATTCTGCTATTTAAGAAAAAAAAAAGTATTTTTCCTCCTTACAGCACATACAATAATGGCATGTTCTACAACTTGGGAATCTTAGATTTAATGAATACACAAAATTTTGCAGCCCCATCTCTGGCTTCTTCCTTCATGAACTTTTCATTCAAGCAAATAGGCCTCTTCAAGCCTTACTTAGTAGAGTTCAGTGCAGTTGCTAACCCTTCCCTGAATTTAAGAATCTCTAATATTTATTTAAAATGCTGATTTCCAGGGAAGCCCAGGTGGCTCAGTGGTTTAGCACTGCCTTCAGCCCAGGGTGTGATCCTGGAGACCGGGGATCGAGTCCCACGTCGGCCTCCCTGCATGGAGCCTGCTTCTCCCTCTGCCTGTGTCTTTGCCTTTCTCTCTCTCTCTCTCTCTCTCTCTCTCTGTGTGTGTCTCTCATGAATAAATAAAGTCTTTAAAAATAAAATAAAATAAAATGCTGATTTCCAGAGCTCAAGAATCCCTGTTTTTAAAACATTCTTTCAGGGCAGCCCGGGTGGCTCAGCGGTTTAGCGCCGCCTTCAGCCCAGGGCCTGATCCTGGAGACTCGGGATGGAGTCCCACGTCGGGCTCCCTGCATGGAACCTGCTTCTGTCTCTGCCTATGTCTCTGCCTCTCTCTCTCTCTCTCTCTCTCTCTCTCTCTCTCTCTGTCTCTCATAAATAAATAAATAAAATCTAAAAAAAAATAAGAAAATAAAAATAAAACATTCTTTCAGGTAATTCTCTCAATAGGAAAAGCAGGGAAACACTAGCAAAGTCAGGCTGGATTCCAAGCCCAGCTCTTTGCTAACTAACTGCGTGGGTCAGAGCAAGCCACTTGAGATTTTTGGGCCTCAGTTTCCTCATCTATAAAGTAGGAATATGAATAGTCCCTACTCATTTGGATTGTAGTGAGGTTCAAATGGGTTAATAATGGAAAAGTGCTTGGCACATATTTAGTACGTCATGAGTGTTAGCTACGATTATCCCATCCTGTGTGCTCATTGACTTAGTATTTACAGCCAAAAATGTCATTTTCCCTACCTTCACTTCACTTCTCCCATGCCCTCCCACCAATGACCATCCCACCTCAGCTGCACAGGTAGGTGACATAATCCTGGAATGTGACCAAGGCAACCCCAAGGACCACCACCATGTAGGCAAGGGGTGCCTTCCATGATCTGTGCTACTTTCCCATTCCTGATCCTCCTTCCACAGGCCTGAAGGCTCTCTAGTTCCAAGGTTGTACCCTACCCAGGAGCACCTAAGAAGAACCTCATAGGACCTAGTTACCTACCTTGAGCTCAGTTTCTGCTTGCAGGGAAGGTCGGCAGATCAAATGAATGTACAGTAAAATATAAAGATCAGGATCCCACCTCCTCACCTAAATGTATATCAACTCTCCTTTGATTTTATACAGGTCAAGCTTACTTATATAGTTCTCTTATAGGTCACAAAATACTTCCCATACCATTTTTCTCTTGATTCTGACAATAGCTCTGTGAAGTAGGCCATGAATTAATATCCCATTTTACAGATTAGAAAACTGAAGTCTCAGAGAAACCAAGTGAGTTGCCCAGTCATCCAGCTAGAGCAGAGCCAACACCTGAACTCATGGATCCTGACTTTTTTGACCACAAAATTAATTCCCTCAACTCCCAGACACACTTCTCCAAAGAGCTGAATGTATTTAGTGCTGACATTTCATACATAGTGACAAAATGAGAAGTGTTTCAGGTATATACCTAGGGAAGGAGAGCAGGAACCTTCCCAGAGCTCTTTGGTAAAACCTATGTCCTTCCCCAGTTAGTGTAAGACCTGTGCTTTGGTGACTAACATGGCCCCTACCTTAACCGTGGTGGGAGGGGGAACAGGTCAATGTGAAAAGAAGTCTCCCTTATGGATTTTCCATTCTCCCCATTTCCTCCCCTTGGGCCCATTTTCCTTCCATAGCATCTCTGGAAAATATCCCAGGGCCTCTAACCTGGAAGCAACCCTCTGTGAGCCCCTGACCCAGGCACCTGGACACACGGTAGGGGTGAACCCTATTTATAGTGTCTCAGGGCTCTAAGAGGAGGCCAGCATGCTATTCTCGGGCAAATTTTCCTACCCTTTCTGATTTCCAGTCTCTCATCTGTAAAATAATGAGATAATAATGCCTGACTCATAACAGAATTATGAGGATTAAGTGTGGTCATGTAGAGAAAATGCTCAGTGCAGCATCTGATTCATAGCGAGCAGCCAGTTACTGCCATTTGTTGCTATTATTATTGGCACTAAAGTCAAATGGAAGCAGCTTCAGTGGATGTGCATGGCATTAGAGGTGTTCACAAATATTTCAGGTATATAGTAGGATTATACTTCCTTGGTCTCTTCTTTTCAAGTTAGGCAAAGCCATAAGACTTCCCTTAGACAACAAAATATGAGCAGAAATGTAGAGTGTTTAACTGCTGGGGAGAGACCTTCCAGAGCTCCCTTTCACTCTGCAATGATGAAAGCTGGTTGACACCTGATATTATATCAGCCAGGGTTTCAGGAGAGAACTGTGAGAGCACTGATCCTCAATGAGCATGTACCACAAGCAAAAAATAAACTTTTGTTTTAAGACACTTAGATTTAGGAGTTGTTACCTCACCTATCCTAACTGATAAAGTTGCTTTTGAGTTTTTCACAGCTACTGAGCACCTACTATGTGACAAGCACTGTAGAAGGTGTTTCATATGCCTTATACATCCCATCCTCACAGAACTTTGTGATAGGAGGTACGTTGCTACATTCTGACAGAGGAGGTTACCAAGACTCAGAAAGACATGCAACTTGCCCTACCTATGTTTCTAGGAGCTAGAGCCACACACAGTTTACAACTGGCATCCAGGGATCCCTGGGTGGCGCAGCGGTTTAGCGCCTGCCTTTGGCCCAGGGCGCAATCCTGGAGACCCGGGATCGAATCCCACGTCGGGCTCCCGGTGCATGGAGCCTGCTTCTCCCTCTGCCTGTGTCTCTGCCCCTCTCTCTCTCTCTTTCTCTCTCTCTCTCTGTGACTATCATAAATAAATTTAAAAAATTTTAAAAAAAATGTATTAAAAAAAAAAACTGGCATCCAGAAGCTAAATTAACATTGTTAAACTATAGCCTCACACTGCCCCAGTTATCTATCCTCTTTCCTTACTCCTGTCCCTTCCCTGATCTCAGGTTTCTCGATTAAACTAACTGGTTGAGACAGCTTCAAACGGATGCATGTCCCAGTTGCTGTCTGCAGAGCACATGCGCTCTTCGTCCCTCCCTTTGGCTCATCTTCCATTCCCCTACACCAAAGAATGGAACATGATACCACCTTCGCTCTCCCCTGACATAAATGTTTCATAGGATGGCATCTGGCCACTTCTGCTATCAGTGTCTCCAGCTCCATTACATAGAGTCTAATTCAAATGGCCTGATGATGCCTCCCCCACCCAAATTCTCCCAGGCACTGCCTGTTCAGCAAATAGCACCTGTTGCAGGAGGTTGTGGGAGGGGGCAGTGTGGAGAATGAAAGGAATGGTTGTGGTTCCAGCATTCCATAGTTCTGATATGGAGGGCCAGCTGGTAAGCATGCCAGTTTGTCACAAAACTGCTAAATCTTCATTCCCCTTCCTTCTCCCCACTGCCCACCAAGATTGACCTCAGCCCTGCCCCAGCCCCTCCCTCATCATATAGAGACCAGAGGAGAGGGAGATGGTGGACAGATTGGGGAGGAGCTCTGGAGCCAAGTCAGTAGCCTGAGTACAAGATTCGGAATCAAAGGTCCTGTCCATTTGCTAAAAGACAAGTTACCCATGAAGAGGATATATATAAATATAAAATAAAATAAATCCCTCCCTAGGTAGGGATGGGGCTCTTCTAGATGAGATATATGAAAGTGCTTTGTAAGTTATTATACTTACATAAATATGTGGCTTCCATAAATATCTTTGGAACACATCTAGTTTCCTGGAACCCACTGCTTTAGTTCCCCTTGGTCCCCTTGGGGTCCTTAGTTGCCAGTTGCTCTGCTATAGTCTTGGTCAAGTCTTTTCCTCTTTTTTTTTTTTCTTTTCCTCTTTCTTAGCCCCAGATTCCTCATCTGTAGCTGGGGGGATACCCACACCTCTCTGGGGTCCCCTCCAACTCTGACAGAGTATTGAGTCTATGTGTTTGGTTGTCTGGGATTCTGATCCTGGCACCATTCCCCCTATTGTGGATAATGCTGCTTCTCATTCTAACCAACGATGTCAAGATGGTTTTCTTTGGAGTCTGAAGTCCCACCACTGCTCCTGGACATCTCCCTAGCATGGGCAGTCTGTGCATGACCTTGGAGTAGAAAGGGACCAAGGGCTACAGGGCAAGGCCTTGGGCCATCTCTTTCTGGGCTTTAGAGGAGAACAGGACCAGATGACCCAAAGACTGAGCGGGCTGCCTGGGCCAGGAACAAGAAAAAGGGGCAGGGAAGGCCTTGCCTCTGGGCACCATAAGTAGCTACCAATCCCACATAGTTTTAAAAGACTCTAGCCACCACCCAACTGCCCCATCACAAAATATCACTGTCATTTATTGCCTCAAGTATGGCAACTGATAACTAGGGAATAAAGCTTTTCACTCCACCAAGAAAGAGGGAACTTAATGCAAATTTCTATGGGAAAGGTCACAGCATAACACTCCAAATCAATGACTGACCTTAGAATCTCCCTGAGAACAATTGGGGTGGGAGGGAAGGATTGAAGGCAGGGATCTGGGGATACTTAAAGAAGAAAGAACAAATGCCCAGAAGTGGGAGATAGAGCTGTCTAGGATGTACTTTACTTATTTTGCCCTGGGTTGGATACTATTCCCACAGGGCCAACAATGGAGGCTTCCTTCTTTTTCCTTCCCAGAGCAACAACAACCTCTGATGTGGTGGCCTGGGAGTCAGGACACCTTCTATCAACTATCTGTGTGTTCTTGGGCTAGTCACTTCCTCTCTCTGGACCTCAGTTCTCATCTGCAAGATGAGAGGGTTGAACAATTTGACCTCAACCATCCTTTTGGTCTTAGCCATTCTAAAATTTTCTACTCCTCAGAAGCTCGGCAGAGCATAGAGTAGAACTGGGTTAAAGAAGAATAGCTAAGGGGTACCTGGCTAGCTCAGTCAGTGAAGCCAGTGACTCTCGATCTTGGGGTTGCAGGTTTGAGCCCCATGTCGGGTATAGAGAGTACTAAAAAAATAAATAAATAAATCTTTGGAAAAAAAAAAGAATTAAACTAAAGGAGAACGACTGGGTAAGAGACCCAGAGGCTTCACAGAGGATGGAATGGTGCAGCTTACCCTATAGCCTGAAGTGGGCCCCTGCTTGCCCTCCCATTAATCCTGCTCACCTGCAGCCAGCTGCATCCATGCGCAGATCTTGTAGACAGTGGCTGTGTTGCAGACGAAAAAAAGGCTAAAGCAGATGATGGAGCCGATGATGAGGAACATGGCCAAGGCCACAAAAAACATGGCAGTCTTGAAGGCTCTAGAGGGAATGGAGGAGAAGTCCAGTGGGCCACCCTTGCAGATGAGTTCAGAGGACAGCACGTTGCCCACACAGTAGGAGAAGAGGCCAAAATAGCCTGCCTGAGGTGTGTTAACACTGTCACCGATCCAGTAGGGCTGGATGAAGAGGGCCATGACCAGTACGGAGAAGCAGATGGTGAGTGTGCCCCACATCACACCCACAGCCCTCGAGTTGCGCACATAGTTGGTATGGTAGATCTTGGCCGCCTCCTGGGCAGGCAGCAACTTCACCATGGTGAGGCTGTAGGCCCTGGGCTGGAATCCTGGGGGCGGCTGTAAGCCAGTGGCTTTGCAGATGGAGGCCTAGAAGTGGGTCACTCCCAAGCCGAGTTTGGGGAGGAGGCTGGGGGGTGCAAGGTGGGGGTCCCTGCAAGGTAGAAGAAAGAGAATTAGGAAATAAGACAAGGAAGACAACCTTGGTTTCTTTGGGGGAAGCTTGTCCAAATGCCTTTGTCCGCTCCAGCCAGGCTGTCTCCGTGTCCTGCCTCCTCTCCTGCCCGCCAGGGTCTCAGGCCTACTGGCGCCGCCCTGCCCCCCGCCCCCCTTTCCAGCTCCGAGCTCCAGAGAGCTCCGCCCCTCCGCCCGCGCGGCCCCTCCTTGCTCCCTCCTGCGAGAGCGCGGCTTCAGCACCGCGGCCAGCGCTCGGGACTCGGGCCGGGGGAGGGAGTGGAAACCCAGGACCCGGCCTGGGGAGGCGCGGCCCGCCCACCGCGCACTCCCGCCACGGGGAACGGAGACTCCTCTTCACCCGCCCGAGCCGGGGGTGGGGGATGGGGGGGGGAAACACACAAAAATTGGGAGGGGAGGGTTGCGACTGTCACATTCCTCCCGTTCAATTCCTGCCTTCTTGCCGCAAAACCAAAACCTCTTCCTGAGCACTGTCCGTACCCCCCACCCCCACGTGGTCCCATTAAACTCCTCCCTGGCTCCCTAGTCGCCCTCTCAGCACTCCCAACCCTGTGGAGTCCAGCAAAACCTTTTCTGATTGTGTCTTCCGGTCACTGGTTTCTCATCTCTGTGGTTTCTCCTCCATCAGCAATTACCAAGTGCGTACAATGTCCTGAAGCCCTATGCTGGAGGATATCTTCCCTAAGCAAAACTACAGAGATAAAAATGACAGGGCTCCTGCCCTCAAAGACAGTGAGACGCTTACATACATGTATATGCGTCTGTATATTCGCAATGCACACTGATAGTGTGATAAGAGACAACTACAAAGTGCGTATTGCATCAGGAAGCATCCCAGACCTTAACATGTTTCTGTTCAATACAGTATCTTTCTCCTATTTATGTTTTTGTCGCATATTCCTCTTTTACCTCTCTTCTTCAAAATATGTATTTCTCCTGACTGCATAGGTAAACACATGTTTGGTGTAGAGAGATAGGAAAATCCAGGAAAGATTACATAAAAGAATATAAATCACTCATAACCCCAACGCTGGGAGCAAAGGAGAGCCAAGATCATCTTAAAAGCAGGCTTTAGACTATCTGGATTGAGTTAACTGCTTACTAATCTATGTGACCATCCATGGATTTAATCTTCCCAAACCTCAGTTTCTTCATCTATAAAATGGAGAAGATAATAGTATCTCTCACAGGGACACCTGAGTGGCTCACTCCTTTGAGCATCTGACTCTTGGTGTCAGCTCAGGTCAAGATCTCAGCATCCTGAGATCAAGCCTCATGGGGCTTGATGAGATCTGCTCATCGGGGAGTCTGCTTGTCCCCCTGCTCTCCCTCTGTTCCTCCCCCTCCTTCAAACAAATAAACAAAATATTTTTACAAAAATAGTATCGGGGAGCCTGGGAGACTCAGTCAGGTAAGCATCTGCCTTCGGCTCAAGTCATGATCCCAAGGTCCTGGGATCAAGCCCCGTATTGCATCAGGCTCCCTGCTCAGCGAGGAGTGTGTTTCTCCCTCTCCCATTCCCATTCCTGCTCCCCCTGCTTGTGTGTGCTGTGTGTGTCAAGTAAATAAATAAATAAATAAAATCTTTTTTTAAAAAAATACTATCTATCACATAAGAGTTAGGTAAAATTACAAAACTGGTTCAAGGTCTCACATATAAAAGTACTCAAAATGTTTATCATTATTACTACCACTATTAACATTTTGGTGTTTATCCCTCTTTCTTCTTTGATGGTCACTAACTTTGCAATTTAGCCTCTAAGTTTCAAAATATTGAGATATGATCATGACCAAACTGAAAGAGAGGCAACATCACACAGACATCCTGAATTTAGCACTGGGGCAGTGACTTGTGAGACATCGGGCCATCTCCCTAGCATTTTTATCTGACACAGGATAGTTGCAACATTTGAAGGGAGCACTGGCAAGGAGTTGGGATTATAAATATGGGGGTGGGAGGTGGGAAGGAGTTCACTTGGTTGTTGACCAGACAAAAGCAGGAACTGTACTAAGAGCCCAGATTACCGGACGCCTGGGTGGCTCAGCAGTTGGGTGTCTGCCTTCGGCTCAGGGCGTAATCCCAGGATTTGGGATAGGGTCCGCATCGGGCTCCCTGCGGGGAGCCTGCTTCTCCCTCTGCCTGTGTCTTTGCCTCTCTCTTTCTGTGTCTCTCATGAATAAATAAATAAATCTTTAAAAAAATAAAAAAATAAGAGCCCAGATTACAAATACAGGACACCTGGGTGGCTCGGCAGTTGCGCATCTGCCTTTGGCTCAGGGCGGGATACTGGTGTCCCCGAGGGAGTCCCATATTGGGGTCCCTGCATGGAGCCTGCTTAGTACTCCCTCTGCCTGTTTCTCTCTCTCTCATGAATAAATACATAAATTCTTTTTAAAGAAAATACAGGACCAGGGATCCCTGAGTGGCGCAGCGGTTTGGCGCCTGCCTTTGGCCCAGGGCGCGATCCTGGAGACCCGGGATTGAATCCCACGTCGGGCTTCCGGTGCATGGAGCCTGCTTCTCCCTCTGCCTATGTCTCTGCCTCTCTCTCTCTCTCTCTCTGTGTGTAACTATCATAAATAAATAAAAATTAAAAAAAATAAAAATAAAAAGGTCATCTTTAAAAAAAAAATACAGGACCAGACGGATGAGATGGGACCAGAGACATCCTTACTTACAGCAGCCACAGAGGGCTCAGATCATAGAGACCCCTGCCCCTGCTTCCTTGAAGCCGCCTAAGCTTTCCTTCATGTTCCATCCTACCTTGGTCAGGAGAGAAGGGTGGTGAAAGGAATACTTGAGGCTGAGTATTGAATTAAAAAGAGACTGTCAAAAATAAAAAATACAATACAATACAATAATAAATAAAAAGAGACTGTCAAACTGAAAGTCACTGCATGCCTCGCTTCCTACCCTCACCTAAACAAGTTGGAGATTGGATAGTCAGAGAAAATTTGGAAGTCACAATTATCACACACCTTGGTTGTAATTTGAGTCTACTTCTTGGGATTGTCTGTGGACTTGGCAGCCACCGATGGAATGGAAGGGGTACCTATTATTCTGGTTTGCCCAGAATCATTCCCCTTTCTTTGGTAACAAAAATCCACTCTCTATTTGGAGAATGTCCCTCCCCATTTCATGAGGCCCAGGTGGGCTGTCCGCCTCAGGGCTCTCTCCAGTGCAGCTCATGCATACAGGATTGGAGGACACAAGCAAGTCTCCCAATGGGGAATTTGAATCTTGAGTGGATTCCATGTCTGCTTCCTGCTCTGACTCCCAGGGTTGCTCTACATCTAACTTTGATCCAGAGCTCTAAGCCCCTTCCCAGAAGTGAGTTGTCTGTGTTTGTGGCTTAAGCAAAGGGGATGTACTGTAGGAACACAAGGGAGCTTCAGGCCCCACAGGGGCAGGGATGCAGCCAGCCATGGAAACCCATCAGAAGTCAGGGTATGGCTGCCACTGCTTCTTCTTGAATGGCTGATCTGCTCTTCCTCCCTTCGGCAGACCAGCTTTCTCCATATCTTCATCAGCACATCAGAGATCTGCCTTCCTGGGCTTTGCTAGTTTCATGTTTCAGATCAGCTTGAAGGCAAGCTATTGGATGCAAGTCTACATCCCAGGGAAAGAGAGGCTTGGGTCAGGTGTCCGTCTCTTGTCCAGTCCATAGTGGTGGAGAGCAAGACGGGCTCACTTATTAACATGGCTGCTGCTGGAGGCCCAACCTTGTGTGTCCTGGGAGATCTTGGAGAATATAGAGCAGGTGACACCCACAAGAGGTTGGCCACATTTCTAGGTCTACAGCCACTGTGCCCCAACCCCACTCACCAAAAGACACGATACCACCTCACCCCTCACCATCCATGTGGTATGACTTGACCAGAGAGGCATCTCCTCCTTTTTGAATAACATTGAGGTGCAGTATCTACATTACACACAGTAAAATACTCAAATCTTTTTTTAAATATATATATATATATATATATATATATATATATAAATTTATTCAGAGAGAGAGAGAGAGAGAGAGAGGCAGAGACACAGGCAGAGGGAGAAGCAGGCTCCATGCAGGGAGCCCGACGTGGGACTCGATCCCGGGACTCCAGGATCACGCCCTGGGCCCAAGGCAGGGGCTAAACCGCTGAGCCACCCAGGGCCCCCCCCAAGAAAAGGTAAAACTAACCTTTTAGTTTTGATGAAAGTCTGCAGCTATCCCCCTGGGAGGGCTGTTGACTGGGAGGGGGGCAGGAAAAAGCCTCCTAGAGTGTTAGAACTGTTCTAAATCTTGATTTGGGGTGTTGGTAACACATATGAAAAATCCATCTAGTGATTTGCTTAAGATTTCAGTATTTTGGGCAGCCCTGGTGGCTCAGCGGTTTAGCCCCGCCTTCAGCCCAGGGCGTGATCCTGGAGCCCTGGGATCGAGTCCCCCGTCGGGCTCCCTGCATGGAGCCTGCTTCTCCCTCTGCCTGTGTCTCTGCCTCTCTCTCTCTCTCTCTCTCTCTCTCTCTGTCTCTCATGAATGAATAAAATCTTTTAAAAAAATTTTTACCTTTTCTTGAACTGCATGTCAATGTAATACACAGTCTGTTTTTGTCTATGGCTTTCCTCTCTCAGTATTATGCCTCAGATTAATCCATGTGACTGCACATGGGGTTCCTTCTTGAAGTGAACAAACCCAAAGCACAACACTCTTTAGATTGCGAATGGGGTGGTTAAACCTTATGAGGTTTTGATACAAAAAACATTTAATTGGGCCACCTGGATGACTTAGTCAATTAGGTGTCCGACTCTTGATCTCAGTTCAGGTCTCAGTCTCAGGTTTATGAGTTCAAGTCCTGTGTTGGGCTCCATGCTGGACATGGAAACTACTTAAAAAATCTAATTAATTTTTGTTTATGTTTTGGAAGCACAAACATTGACCAAAGTTCTCTTTACTATACTCTTCATTTATAAGGGAAAAATGCATTCTTTCTCCTCTGGGAAGCTGGCTGTGCCCAGCTGGAGATGGGACTGATGGATTTTTCACAGCTCCCTTTACAGGTGGAAATAGCTCCTCCAGTTCCTTCAGGGGCCTCCTGGCCTGGACTTGTGAGTGGGAAAGTGTCATTACCCTCCCTGTGGCTCAGCTCACAGGTGTAATGAGGTGGAGAGGGCAGGGAGTGAAGGAAGGGCCAGAATGAGCTCATGGGGGAAAAGCAGTTTTAAAGACTGAGACCTATAAAAATAAGAGAGAACAGTGGTTCTTTAATCAGTGGTATTTCTCTGTCTAGAATTGGTGGGTTTCTCCCATTTTGAGGGTCTCCTGGCTGGTTCCTCCAGGTGCTCCCCTATATTCCACCCTCTAGCGGTATAAGGGGGAAGAAAGGAGGGTGGTATTACATGGGCAGAGCATCTACTACACGCCAGGCACTCTGACATACGTTGTCTTATTCAATCCCAACCTTACAAAGAAAGAGCCATCAACTTCCTTGCATAGATTAAGTAACTGAGGCTCAGATACTTGTCCAGGGTCACACAGCTAGTGAGCGCTGAGTTTGGAAGACTGTCTGGATGAAAGCTTTGCTCTCAGCAGCCCAATCTGGGGCCTCCACAGTGGAGCAGTCTTCCACATCCTGGGATGGGAAAGGGGTCCTTGACTGCAATGACCAGTCCTCCAGGGAAAATCGCTCTGGTCCTACACCTGAGCACACTCTGGCAGCTGTGCCTCTTCCCAGCCTCCAGCCCTGGGGTCATCTGAAGCTCACAAGACCTCAGTCTCAGCCAGGACCAACTACTGTTCACGCTCACATGTGGCCTTGGGTGGGGGAGGAGGTGAGAGGAAGCCTTAACCACCGGGTGGGTCTTTAATTTCAGGATGCAGCTAGGAAGGGAAATAGAAAGGAAACAGGAAAGACTCTTCAGAGAAGCAACGTCCCAAGGCCCCTAAAATCACTCATGGAGGCAGCCCCCTGGTTGAGGGCAGGCGGAAAGCACAGCCAGAGTGACATATATACTGTGTTAGGGTAGGTCTACCATTTTCATTTTCTCAGGCCTCCCAACTCTCGAAATGATCCCGTTGACAGATAAGGAGATTGAGACTCAGAACAGATAACTTGTCCAGCCTATAAACTGTACCGGTAGACTTGTTCTGAGTCCACACCCAACCATTAACGCAGTATCAGCACACACACGGACACGGACACGTGCGTGCACGCCCGCACACCTGCCAAGGTGCCAGGGGCCGCCCAGGGCTTTATCAGGACACGCCCCCAACAGATTGGCCACAGCTGGGCCTCGGGTTACGTCGAGCCCCGTGGGGAGGGGAAGGGGGGTCACCTGTTGTCAGGCCCCTTTTATAGCTCTACCACCCCACCTGGCTCTGTCTACTGCCACCTGACCAGCCAGCTGCTACCTATACCGGCTGTCCCCGTCCGTCATGGAAAAGATCCTCGTCCTTCTGCTCGTTGCCCTTGCGGTGGTCTACGCGGTTCCTGACCCTCGGGGGATCATTATCCACCTGGTAAGAGGGACTTCAGGGGAGGAGTCATCTGAACACCCAGGTGGGGACCTCTCACGTCTCCACCTGGGGCTGCCCGGAGGCTGAGAGGTGAGGCATCTTCTGCTTTACTGTCCAGGCCCACCCTGCGCCTCCTACCGGGTTGGGGGAGGGGGCTCAGACAAGGCTGATGGGCACGGAGCGAGCGCAGAGCTGGGGTTTGGCCTGGCTGAGGGACAGCCCCAGGCTCCTGCCCCGGAAGCCCTGGCTCAGAAGGGCCAGTAGTTTAGAAAGCTCCCCCGGTGATTCTGGCTTCCGACCTAGAGTGACACACGGACACGGTTCTAAATGCCTCAGGACCGTTTACTCATTTAGTCCCCAACTGACCGCATGAGACCGGGACGTTAGTATCAAACCCGTTTTCAGATGGAAAGTAGTTCCAGAGAAAGGTGAAGCCACCTGCCTGAGGTCGCGCGCTGGAAAGCTCTCAGCGGATCAGAGGCCGCGGGGCGGACGGGTCGGGAGCCCCCCCCCCCCCCCCCCCCCCCCGGCTGCGTCTCTGCCCAGTTTCTGAACTCGCGGCCTTGCAGGGCTCAGAGGGGCCAGGATCCCCTGAGGTCATATGTCTTCCTGGGGGATGGTCCTCAACCTTCACAGGCTTCTCAGTGGACTGCAGGACCCAGAGAAGTCTGGACACCCTGTTTTGGGTCACATGTGCAGATTCCAAGGGGACACTGAGGCACGGGGGGGGGGCAGTGTCTTGCCCGGATCACCCGGGAGTCGGTAGCGTGGCGGGGTCCTGTCTCGCAGCTTCTCGCGCGGGTGGGGCTGGGGGTGGGGCTGGGGGTGGGCAGACTGGCCGCCAGCCCCGCGGGTTGGGTCCTTTACCCGCGCCCCCGCGGGGGACGCGCTGTGGGCGGTGGCGGGGGCCGAGGGACAAAGGGCGAGGGCCCTCGCTAACTGGCCGCCCGGCAGGAAGACGGCGAGCTCTGTCTGAACAGCGCCCAGTGCAAGAGCAAGTGCTGCCACCGGGACACCGGGCTGAGCCTGGCCCGCTGCGCACCCAAGGCCAGCGAGAACAGCGAGTGCTCTGCCAAGGTGGGTGCCGCGGGCCGTGCGGTGCTGGGGGGACGAGGCACAGCTGGGGGGCGGGTCAGGGAGGGGGTCAGCAGGCTCCAGGCACTGCCCCATCCGCTCGGCCCTTTCGAACCTCACGACTGACCAGTGAGGTGGGTGGGGGCGGAGATTTGTTATTCCCATTTCACCGATGGGTAGCTGGAGGCTCCCCAGGGAGATCTAGTTCGTAAGCACGAAGGAAGCCGAGTGGGGAACCTGGGCCGGGCGTCCTCCAGGCCCACAGCGCCCCCTGGCGTGGCAGGCAGGAGGGGACAGTCTGAAAAGAGCCTGGCCCGGGGTTCTCTGGGTCAGGCGGGGAGCGAGGGGCAGGCTATGCCCAAAGTAGCCCCCCCACCCCACCCCCGCGACAGCCTGTGATTCCACTGTTTCTGTGTCTTTGAAGACGCTCTATGGGGTTTACTACAAGTGTCCCTGTGAGCGGGGCCTGACCTGTGAGGGTGACAAGTCCATCGTGGGCTCCATCACCAATACCAACTTTGGTGTCTGCCACGATGCTGGGCGCTCCAAGAAGTAAAGCCACTGAAGGATGCTCCTCATCCACCACCTCTCCCTGGCTGGCCACCCCCTTAACCAGCACCTCCCTTTTCCGATTGGATTCTCAGCAATTAAAGCTCTTCCTGCAACCTTCCCCAGGCTCCAGAATGTTCTTGAGTCAGTGTCTTCCTTGATGTCCCATCAAGCCTTCGCCTCATCAAGGCAGGTGTCAAACAGGTCAGAGGAAGAACGGATGGGTCTGGGACCAGGCGGGATGAGGCTGGACAGACTGGAGACAAGGTTTTGAAGCAGCCATGCTGGGAACCTCTCCATTGGGGGACCAATCACACCTCCCTGGGATGCCCCACTTGCCCCTCCAGTTCTCAGACAGGTGCACGTGTGTGCGCACACACATGCGCACCCTTCTAGTGGGGAGTTAGAATGGCCCATATTCCTGCCCTGCATCAAGCTTACCAGTCCCTGGCCTGGGCTCATACCTTCTTTCTGGGCCCAACTCTCAGATGTGCCAGCTAGTTGACACGACCCATGTGTTAACAGGACAGACCACTAACAATTGCTGTGGGCTTACTCTGTGCTAGCAAATCCTCAGAGTGACCCAGGAGGGAGAATTTATTGTCTCTATAGATAAAAGAAACTAAAGTTCAGAGAGGTTCAGTAACTTGCTCAATGTCACGTAAGTAGAAAAAGTTAACACTACACCCATCTAACTCCACCCCCTACCCTTTCTACAACTCCCGGTTCTTTCCCAATTAGTCATACTAAGACAAATAGGTGGAATTGTAGGGAATTTGGTTTTGGTTTAATATAATAATTTTATGGGCAACCCTGGTGGCCCAGCAGTTTAGTGCTGCCTTCAACCTGGCGTGTGATCCTGGGGGCCCGGGATCGAGTCCCACATCAGGCTCCCTGTGTGCAGCCTGCTTCTCCCTCTGCCTGTGTTTCTGTCTCTCTCTCTGTGTGTGTGTCTCATGAATAAATAAATAAAATCTTTAAAAATTTTATATATATATATAAAATCCCCTGGAGCCATCAAACCTGGATTGCCTTGGGCAGGACTGAAGTCCCCATCACTGAGATGAGCAGGTGGACGTCCACTGACCCTTAGTGGAGATGCAGGAGAGGAGATTCATGCAAAGAAGGAAGAGAGTGAATCAATTAAAATCGAGATGCTCTCCCAGCCCCAGGATTTTGTGGTTGGTGATCAATGCCTCCCTAGAGTAACCATTAGGTTCTTGAGTTAGGACTGGATTTACCTGAATGTAACAAAAAAAACAAGTAATGATGGCTTAAATAACTAGGGACACACATCTCTCACGAATCAAGAAGTCTGGAGATAGGAAGTGCTGGCATTTGTTTGGATGCTGGCAGACCTGCCGTTCTCGTGCCTCCTCTCACCTGGCAGCTGCCTTCCCAGCAGCTCCTGGTGTCGTCTTGTCTCCCCGTATTCTAAGGTAAGAAGCGTGGAGTAGAGGCTGGGCGCCTCCAGGCTTTTTTTTTTTTATTATTTTTATTTATTTTTTTTTATTTTTAGTTTATTTATTCGTGAGAGACACACAGGCAGAGGGAGAAGCAGGCTCCACGCAGGGAGCCCGACATGGGACTCGATCCCAAGTCTCCAGGGTCACGCCCTGGGCTGAAGGCGGCGCTAAACCGCTGCGCCACCCGCCACCCGGGCTGCCCCTCCAGGCTGACTTCTTATCCCGATGGCTCCAACCGGGTCATATGACCACCTATGGCCACAAGAGGGGCTGGGAAATCAAGTGCTGGGCAAAGGGAATGGGACCGCCATGACCGGCTTGGACTAACGTGATCCTTCTCCTGGGGCTGGACACAGTACTGTCCAAACAGTACTGGGGTTTGGTTAGCAAGGAAGGCGGGCAATGGCTGTTGGGGAGCTGGGCTCTGTGGCAAGCAGCAAAGACCCCAACCCCCTGTTCCCTGTATTAAATCCTTTCTACTTGAACCCCCTGGAGTGGTTCTTGTTTTTCTGCACTGACACTAATACAAGACTGCCAGAAGGGGAGCATCTCTTGTTGTGTTGCTGTTGTTCAAAAGCACCTTCTCTCACTGTCTGTAGCCAAGATGGGTCATCATTTTCTTTCTTTTCCTTTTTAAGATTTTATTTATGTGAGAGAGAGAGAGAGAGAGAGCAAGAGAGAGCACGTGTGGGGGTTGGGGAGAGGGAGAAGCAGACTCCCTATTGAGCAGGGAGCCAGATGCCGGGGCTCGGTCCCAGGACCCCGAGATCATGACCTGAGCTAAAGGCAGACACTTAACCAGCTGAGACACCCAGGCGCCCCAGGAATCATCATTTTCTAATTCCCAAAGATGTCCTCTGCAGGGAGCACCTGGGTGGCTGGGTTAAGTGTCCTATTTAATTTTAGCTCATGTCATGATCTCAAGGTTGTGAGACTGAGCCCCACGTCAGGCTCCACACTGGAGACTGCTTAAGGTTCTCTCTGTCCCTCCCCACTCCCCACCCCATCCTCCACATGCACTTTTTCTCTATAAAAAAATGTCCTATATGTTTTAGCTTTGCCAGTGACATGTGCCTCTTTAATATCCTAATCCCAGGGGCTCCCCAATTTCTGTGACTTTTTTTCTAGATCTGCTAGAAATAGAAGCAGGCAGGAGTATCTGCAGGCTTGAATCCATAAAAAATTCCTAATTCTGGACCTTGTAGACATATGCTGTCTAATATGGTATCAATTAGCCACATATTGAGCACTTGATGTGTGGCTGACTTGAATTGGGATTAAGTGTAAAAATACAAATTGGGTTTGTAAAACCTATTACTGAAAAAAAGAATATGAAATATCTCAAGTATTTTCCATTTTGAAATAACTTTTTTTTTTAAAGATTTTATTTATTCATGAGAGACACAGAGGGGCAGAGACACAGGCAGAGGGAGAAGCAGGCTCCACGCAGGGAGCCCGACGTGGTACTCGATCCCAGGTTTCCAGGATCACATTCTGGGCCGAAGGCAGGCACTAAACCGCTGAGCCACCCAGGCATCCCGAAATAACGTTTTTGATTGGGTTACAAATAAAATATACTATGCTTTGACCTAGCAATTGCACTACTGGGTATTTATCCAAAGGATAGAAACATAGGGATTTTTTAAAAAAGATTTTATTTATTTATTCATGGAGAGAGAGAGAGGCAGAGACACAGGCAGAGAAAGAAGCAGGCCCCATGCAGGGAGCCCGATGTGGGACTCGATTCCAGGACCCTGAGATCACGCCCTGGCCTGAAGGTGGTGCTAAACTGCTGAACCACCACCAGGGCTGCCCCAAACATAGGGATTTGATGGGGCACCTGCACCCCCATGTTTATAGCAGCAATATCCACAATAGCCAAACTATGGAAAGAGTCCTGATGTCCACTGAAGACAAATGGATAAAGGAGATGTGGTATACACATGCACACACAACACACACACACACACACAATGGAATATTACTCAACCATCAAAAAGAACGAAATCTTGCCATTTGTGACATGGATGGAATGAGAGGGTATTAGGCTAAGTGAAATAAGTCAGTCAGAGAAAGACAATATCACATGATTTCACTCGTGGAATTTTTTTTTTAAAGTCTGTTAGTATTTATTTATTTATTTATTTATTTATTTATTTATTTATTTATTTATTTATGATAGACATAGAGAGAGAGAGAGAGAGAGGCAGAGACACAGGAGGAGGCAGAAGCAGGCTCCATGCTGGGAGCCCGTTGTAGGACTCGATCCCGGAACTTCAGGATCACGCCCTGGGCCAAAGGCAGGCGCTAAACTGCTGAGCCACGCAGGGATCCCCATCACTCGTGGAATTTAAGAAACAAAATAGATGAACACAGAGGAAAGGAAGGAAAAGTAGAATAAGATGAAAAGAGAGGAAGATAACCATAAAAGACTTAACTCTAGGAAACAACCTGAGGAAACTGGAAGGGAGGTGGGTGGGGGGATGGGATAATGGGGTGATGATCATTAAGGAGGGTACTTGATGGAATGAGCATTGGGTGCTACGTATAACTGATGAATCACTAAATTCAACCCCTGAAACTAATAATACAGTATATGTTAACTACATTAAACTTAAAGAATTTAAAAAAATAAAATACATTATCAAATTTGAATTATGGCCATTAGAAAATTTAAAATTACTTATGTGTCTCATGTTTCACTTCCACTGAATAGTGCTGCTACTGTAAGCTGAAGGCATTTGAGAATTGGCTTTTTTCTGAAACTCCTTATCTGCCTAAAAGCAGAGCCTCCCCAAAGAATTCAACCACCATAAATTCCCTCCTGGGGAGGTTTCTTGCAACCAGGAAAGATTGACTCTTCTCACTGGAGTCTTACCATTGGTGGATGTCAGCACTACATTGTCACAAAACTATCACGTACTCTCCTAAGGACCCATCTACTCTCCTAAGATCCCATTTAGCTTTCTTAAAAATAATTTGCATTTTCCTACATGCCCCTTCTTCCCATCCCTCCCCCTATTAAGAAGCCATTTTCCAAAGTGTCCTCCCATTCCCCTCCCCCAATTAAGGTGGTGTATATGCCCCAAATTCCAACTGCCTCATTGAGTCACCTTTTTCTGTGAATTCCCTCCACATATGTATGTGAATAAAAATCTGACTTGGGGCACCTGGGTGGTTCCGTTGCTTAAATGTCCAACTCTTGATTTTGGCTCAGGTCATAATCTCTGAATCTTAGGATATAGCCCCACATCAGGTTTCCTGCTCAGTGGAGAGTCTGCTTGTCTCCCTCCCCCTCCTTCCCCCCCAAACAAACAAATTAATAAAACAACTGTCTTTTCTCTTGCCAAGCTATCTTGTGTCCGTTTAATTTGCAGACCCTAAAAACTGAACCTAAGAGAGTAGAGGAAAAGTTTTCTTCCCATCACATGAAGCCAGTTTAATTGTATCAGCAACATATCTTCCCCTCCCCTTCTAAATTTGAAGGCATCCGGTATTTGTGGAGGCTGGGTTTCCAGCCTGCAATCTCTCCTTCCAAGGAGACTTTCTTTTTGTAGACTTTCTCCAAATAAGGGGAGCTCCTGTACCACTATGGACTGTAACCCTGTATCTTTCTGATGTGCATGTAACAC